ATCAAAATAACAGCCCGAACCAAGGAAAACACGTTTCCCTGTATATCACAGAGGCCACAGTATTGGCATGAATGACTCGTATCATAAAACGTGATGGCAATTCAAGTGTTTCCAAGTTCTCACAATTTAAATCTGAATGTTCACCCACTTAATACAGAGCACCAACAAGTCTTAATATTATTGGTAATAAACAAACGCCACTCAAGCTCTTTCCACAAGAAAAAGGCATTACAAATGCAGTCAGAAGAGCATCTCCAAGGGTGAGTTAGATAGTTAGGGCTCAGTTATTTAATAAACAAGCCTTTCTGTGATTAAAACCTAATCATTTCACCAAAAACATTTTTGGAAGCTGTATCTGAGATATGTTTTCAGTATATCTCATCTTCTCCTCTACAGTAGGAAAATGACATTTCAGACTGTAGATACTTTGACCAACATTACAGATTTGAGAAGGATGAAATTTCTGGATGAAAGGGGTCGAGTCAACGCTTATAAAACAAGCGTAGGCAAACCTTGAAGCGTGCGCTTGTATTCCCACGTGTAACCTGCTTTGCTGGTATTCGTTGATGAGACAACGTGACAGGCTAGCAGCACTGGGAGATCTGTAGCTCTCACAATCAAAAGTGTGTTTGTGAAATAATTCAGCTCCCTTTTCTTTTGGAAAGGAAAGGGTCTGAGCTGCAGATCCAGCAAGTTGTTTCTGTCACTAAAAATGCGCTGGGAACTACACAGAGAGCCGAAGGGAGCTTTCTTATGAGACTTCCCTAGGGGATAGGTCCAGAAACTCTGAAAAGAAACTGCTGTGAGACCATTTTGGCCCGAGGGATTCCCAAATCCTTAATGGGATGCTGCCGTGCGGCGATTTCGACTGCGAAGCTTTCCAGTACCCTTCCAAGGTCCACTGCGCGGGGAGCAATCGTTTGGGGGCTTTCCTCACAATCAGGCCTTTCTGGCAGCCCTCCTCCAAGCCCTGCAGGGCGGGGGGCTCGTCCTGTGTCTAAAGGCGCGGCGCTGCGAGCGGGGTGGTCGCCGGCCAGCTAGGTGCCGCCGGGCGACCAACTCCGCGGCGCCGAGGGCCCGGACCCGACGAAGGGGAAGGATTAGAAAGGGGGTGCCCGCCGGACCGCGTACTCACCCTCCCCGGCGAACGCCCGGCGCCCGGGTAGGGATCCGCGCCCCGACCCCGCGCGGCCTTCCGGGTGAGCCGGCCGTGGCCGCCGGGACCTGCACTGCCGGCCGGCTCCGCGTGGCTCGGCTCCGCCGCGGGATCCGGGCTGGCCCGTCATCCGGTTCCCGTCCCAGGCGGGCTCCGGCCCGGACCAGGCCCCCGGCCTCTCACCCAGACCTCAGGCTTCCACCCCAGCCCCCAGCCCGGGCCCCCGACACGCGCGCGGCCCTTGCCTCTGTGCCCGGCCCCCACGCCGCCTCCCATCCCTCTCATCTCCGGCCGGCGTCCCCGCGACCGGCCCGGACCAGGCCCCCGGCAGGGCCCTCCCTCGGGTGGGCGCGCACCTCTCCTTGGAGTAGAGCTGCAGCTGCTGCTCCTGCTGCTTCTTCCGGATAAACGCCATGGAGAGCAGGCGCGGGCAGGCGCGGAGCGCACAGGCAGGCCCCGCCGCCGCCCGCCGAGGAGGTCTGGAGGAGCCGGGGAGGGCGCACTCCGTAGGCGGCTGGGGAGCGCGCGGCTGCCGGCCTGGCTTCCCCTGCGGCGCCGCTGGGCGGCCGAGAGCCCGACGCTGCGCCCCGGGGCCCCGCGGCGTCCCCGCCGCGCTCACCGCAGCATCCTGGCGTGGGGACTCCGGCGGCGCGGTGACTCAGGGCCGGAGGAGGGGCGCGCGGTGACACGAGGAGCCCCAAACTCAGGCGGCCTCAGGGGATCGCCACGTCCAGCGGCCAGACTAGGATCCGTCCTCGCATACTAAACGTTTCACCACTTTACCATCCATTGCAGGCTGCGTTTTAAATAGTTTACGCATAAAAAGGGTGCTGGCCCATAAACCACCAATCTGTTGGCCGCAAGGACTTGAAATGACAACGTTTTGGGTCCTCAACTGTGGAAAAAAAAAAAAAAAATGTCAGCAGTTAAAGAGGTGAAGACAACTGGCTCTAACTATTCCAAATACACCAGGAATAAGTGGGGATTTTATAGCCAAGGAGCAAGGAGCAGGTGTTCGGAAAATCGCTAAGAGGAAGCATCAACTGGGGGGGGGGAGTCTGGCTGAACCAACCTAACAGGAGTCCCATTGAAGGCAGGCCAGGGGGTCAGCTACGAAGGGTAGGGAGTAAAGATTTTTGATCACCTATGGAGGGTGTGGGATTCTTGCTAAACTGCCGTGTAGCAATGTTACTTCTTAACACTGCCTGTACGAGGACGTGCACACAAGGACCTGGGAGAAGATTCAGAAGCCTGGCCTGAAGTTTGACCAAGCAAAGAATCTTTAACACAATCTCCTGATTGTTGAAATAATTGGTCTCTTTTTTTTTTTAATAACAGCTCTATTGGGATAAAACTCACATACCAAAGAAGTCAACCATTTAAAGTGTCCCATTCAGTGATTTTTAGTATATTTCCAGATATGTTCAACAAACACCACAATTTGAGAACATTTTCATCACATGTAAAAGAAACCCACACCCTGTTAGTCTTCCTAACTCTACTCTCCAAACCCCAACCCTAGCAAACAATAACCAATTTTCTGTCTCTATGGGTTTGCCTATTCTGGACATTTAAAATAAATGCAACCATGCAATATGTGGCCTTTCGTGTCTGATTTCTTTCCTTCAGCATGATGCTTTCAAGGTTCATCTATGTTGTAGCGTGTATCCGTACAGTACCTCGTTCCTTTAGATTGCTGGAGTATAGATTGCTGGAGTTTATTTTGTTGCGTGGATATACTACCTTTCGTTAATCCATTCATCAGTTCATGGACATTTCAGTTGTTTCCACATGTTGACTATTGTGAATAAGGCTGCTGTAACAGTCATGTACAGTTTTTTTATGGACGTATGTTTCCATTTCTGTTGAGTGAAATTGGAATCTAAGAGTGAAATTGCTGGATGTGGAGGCTAAAACAGCTCCATCTTGGAAGCTAATCCTCCATGTTGGCTTCTGATTAACCCCTGTTCTGGGAAGGCCTCTAAGATTTCTACTTATCTATTTTCCTTGTGCAAGAGCAGGTACCTACCCAGTATGTACTGTCCTTAGTTCAAACAACTTTGATGTAATTATACGTCAATTGTCCTACACATCCTTCTGAACCACCCCTCTCCTATGGTATATATAAGCCCTAAGGGGCTGTAGTGGTGGCTCACACTTATAATCCCAATGCTTTGGGAGGCTGAGGCTGAAGGATTGCTTGAAGCCAGGAGTTCGAGATTTGCCTGGGCAACAGAGCAAGACCTGGTCTCTACAAAAAATAAAGAATAAAAATTAGCTGGGTGCAGTGGCACACACCTATAGTCCCAGCTACTGGAGAGGCTGTCAGGAGGATCACTTGAGTACAGGAGTTTGAGCCTTCTGTTGTCGTGGACCGTCCAGGACGGGTAGGCACGTCTGCCCGGGGTCTCTCGACCTGCAAGAGGCTCCCAATACCTGGAAGAGGGAGTGCACCTGGAAAAATAATAAAGACAGAGAGAGAGAAAGCGAGGCATCTGGAGGGCTGATAGGCTGTGCCTAAACAGCAAATTTTATTTTTCAAAGGCCAGGAATAAATACACTTTCTTGGCTCTGGTTTACCTCATAGCAAGAGGAATGCAAATGTATGCCTCACATGGCCTATGCAATAGAGAAGTCAGATATGCAATCAGTGGTTGTAAAAAGTAACAGAATTTCCTGTAATCACAAAGCTTGCATCCAAACATTATTCACAAAGCTTGTTTACATCCAAACATTATTCACAAACATCATTCCTCCTGGCTGCAGGTATCTCTGGTTTGACCTTGTTTTAGAACTGAGATGTGAAAAGGTTTTTTGGTTTTGCTCATCAGAATATCTTTTAATCGGATTCTCCTTTGTCTACTCCTGACTCAACTTAACTCAACTTCCCCATTCAGGAATCTCTGAGTCAGGAATCAAAGCCATCCCTTATGGTGGCATTTTGCTTTGCAAATATCAACAGTTAAACCATTATCTAGGGTACAAGGCAGTCAGGTAAGTAAAGGTTAAAACTTATCCTTAAAGAGTCATAAAAAGGTTAAAAGCAGGAACCGGTTGCTGGTAGAGGGTCACTCAGTCTAGCAGCAACACATAGTTTTAGGCCCAAACGATATCGTGGTTGATATTAGAAACCTATCGTTCATCTTTCAGATCCTCTTTCCGGATAGCTCGACTGCCTCCAGTAGGAAACTGTGTTTGGGATCAAACTCACCGTATAGTGAGACTCACACCTTTTGGGGGTCTCACATGGGAATGTTCCCCACATTCTGTGAGCATGATTGCACCCCAGCCTAGGCAATACAGAGAGAGAGAGAGAGAGAGAGAGAGAGAGAGAGAGAGAGAGAGAGAGACCCTGTCTTTTTTTAAAAAAAAACTCTAGGGGTTAATGGCACAGCAATCTACCATCTCATCTTGCTGCCCAAGACACAGCCATGGCTTCTGTTCCTAAGTAGTTATTAAATTTTTATTCCTAAGGAACTGTATTTGTCAGCCTCTTTCTTCGCCTCCCAGCATCCTGGGACTTTGAGACAGATTTGTATAGGCCTGCCCACCACAGAACACTGGGTCATGTGGTAACTCCATGTCTAAATGTTTGAAAAACTGCCAGACTGTTTCCCAAAGTGGCTGTACCGTTTAACACGTTCACTAGCAGAACAGAAGTGTTCCAGTTTCTCTACATCTTTGCCAGTATTTGTTATTTACCAGACTTTTGTTTAGAGCTATCCTAGTGGGTGTGAGTGATATCTCAATGTGGTTATAACTTATTAATGTATGCTGAGAATGAGCCTCTGATTATTTACCTTTGAGGGATTCTTGAATAGAAATCATCTACATTTCTTCTTCACCTTAAACAGCTAGTGTGCCAATGTCTTAACAAGGTTCAAGGGTGGCATATCTGACAAATGCATATGAACACCCAATCATCACAGTTATGAACTACAAAAAGATCCAAACCTCTAAATTGTATGTTTGTGGAAACATATCTCATACTCTCAGAAGGATCAGGTTTTTCAGGTTTCGATTTTTAAAAGCCTCAAGGTAAATGTACATCTCAGCTCTCTCTAGTATGTCACTCTAGTAAGGGCTCTGAGGGGAAGGAAAGTAAACCGAAAATAAAACTGTAGTTGAGGCCGGGCGCGGTGGCTCAAGCTTGTAATCCCAGCACTTTGGGAGGCCGAGACGGGTGGATCACGAGGTCGAGAGATCGAGACCATCCTGGTCAACATGGTGAAACCCCATCTCTACTAAAAATACAAAACATTAGCTGGGCATGGTGGAACGTGCCTGTAATCCCAGCTACTCAGGAGGCTGAGGCAGGAGAATTGCCTGAACCCAGGAAGCGGACGTTGGGGTGAGCCGAGATCGCGCCATTGCACTCCAGCCTGAGTAACAAGAGCGAAACTCCGTCTCAAAAAAAAAAAAAAAAACTGTAGTTGGGTCTTTTGAATTTGACCCTTAGCAGCACTGGACGAAATGCTATGTATAGTGAGGACACCCATTAAAAAGTTGGGGAATAAATGAAGATGCCTGGGTACCCTGTGACTGTGACCGAGTCCCTTCCATGTGTCCAAGTCCTGCGCAGAACCTGTAACATATTAGTTCAGTGTTCTTGGAGGAATTTGTGATGCTGTCTGGTAGCCAAGAAATAAATACATGAACAGGTACACAATGAAATAAGGTAATAAAATTTACCAAGAGTTACAACATGACAAATTTCTTTTTTTTTTTTTTTTTTTTTGAGACGGAGTTTCGCTCTTGTTACCCAGGCTGGAGTGCAATGGTGCGATCTCGGCTCACCGCAACCTCCGCCTCCTGGATTCAGGCAATTCTCCTGCCTCAGCCTCCCGAGTAGCTGGGATTACAGGCACGCGCCACCATGCCCAGCTAATTTTTTTGTATTTTTAGTAGAGACAGGGGTTTCACCATGTTGACCAGGATGGTCTCGATCTCTTGACCTCGTGATCCACCCACCTCGGCCTCCCAAAGTGCTGGGATTACAGGTTTGAGCCGCCACGCCCGGCCCAAATTTCTTTATGAGTAGTACTACAAAAGGTTCTGTGAGTTCGGAGACAGATTATATTTGGCTGGAATAAGGCAAACAACAATAACAAAAACTCAGAATGTAAGTTATCTTCTTGAAGTCAAACATTAGAGGAAGACTAGATGTGATCTGATTGATAGGTAAAGAGTGTTAAAGAGGCCGGGCGCGGTGGCTCAAGCCTGTAATCCCAGCACTTTGGGAGGCCGAGGCTGGTGGATCACGAGGTCAAGAGATCGAGACCATCCTGGTCAACATGGTGAAACCCCGTCTCTACTAAAAATACAAAAAATTAGCTGGGCATGGTGGCGCGTGCCTGTAATCCCAGCTACTTAGGAGGCTGAGGCAGGAGAATTGCCTGAGCCCAGGAGGCGGAGGTTGCGATGAGCCGAGATCGCGCCATTGCACTCCAGCCTGGGTAACAATAGCGAAACTCCGTCTCAAAAAAAAAAAAAAAAAAAGAGTGTGTTAAAGAATCTCTCCTTAACCCAACTCTAGCTAAATTCTTCTGAGCCCACTTCTCAACTAGGCCTCAACCTTGGCCTATAAAATCCAGACACCCAGCACAAATAATTTAGTCCACTCCTCATCCCCCACATTAAAAAGCTTAAACAAATAGCCATAGTTTCTAACAGTTCAAGACCACATTCCTAGGATAACCCAGCATCCCTTAACATACCTGTCTGAAAAACTCAAGGCAATCAAAAGAATTTACTATTTGTGCCCAGCGCAGTGAGTCAAGCCTGTAATCCCAGCACTTTGGGAGGCCGAAGTTTGAGACCACCCTGGCCAACATGATGAAACCCCATCTCTACTAAAAATACAAAAAATTAGCCAGGCATGGTCCTGGGCACCTGTAATCCCAGGTACCAGGGAGGCTGAGGCAGGAGAATCACTTGAATTCGAGAGGCAGAGGTTGCAATGAGCCAAGATTGTGCCATTGTACTCCAGCCTGGTCAACAGAGCAAGACTCCATCTAAAAAAAAAAAAAAAGAAAAAAAAAAGAACTTACTATTTGTTCCAGCCAATACCTGACAAAGGCCCCTGATCACCCTTTCTTAGAACATTTAACAAGAAGGACTTAAATTATGAATCACTCCTCTGTCCCTTTAAGGTGTGTATGTGTCTCCTACAACTCAGTGTCATTCTGAAAGACCTGAAATCCATTCCGTTGAAATGTAATCATCAGGAAGTGTATGCCCTTGTCTTTCAGGCTCTGTGAGTAAACAGAATCTCATCTTCAGTATTGGGCAGCTAGCAGACACAGCTGACCTAATCACATTTACACTGACCAACCCTTTCTAGTTTTTTACTTCCCTTACTCTATTCCTTAGCCCCTGATTTCCCCCTCCCTGCTCCCCCATTTTCCCTTCAAAAATGTCCATCGGCGGGTGGATCACGAGGTCGAGAGATCGAGACCATCCTGGTCAACATGGTGAAACCCCGTCTCTGCTAAAAATACAAAAAATTAGCTGGGCGTGGTGGTGCGTGCCTGTAATCCCAGCTACTCAGGAGGCTGAGGCAGGAGAATTGCCTGAACCCAGGAGGCGGAGGTTGCGGTGAGCCGAGATCGCGCCATTGCACTCCAGCCTGGGTAACAAGAGTGAAACTCCGTCTCAAAAAAAAGAAAAAAAAAAAATGTCCATCCACCTTTGCACAAAAGTTGAATTCAGTTCATGCTGGCTCCTGTCTCCTATTGCAACAATGTATTACTGATGAAAATCTGTCCTTACCATTTGAACTAGTGTCTGACTTTGTCTATCTTTAGCAAAAGAAGGGAAGAAAGACAGTCAAAAGGATTGTCTTGAACAGCAGCTCAAAAGAGACAAACTTCTGCTATATAACAGTTTGTATTTGTGGAGAATTAAAGGAGAACTGGAGGCCGGGCCCGGTGGCTCACGCCTGTAATCCCAGCACTTTGGGAAGCTGAGGCTGGTGGATCATGAGGTCAAGAGATCAAAACCATCCTGGCCAACATGGTGAAACCCCGTCTCTACTAAAAATACAAAAATTAACTGGGTGTATTGGCGGATGCCTGTAGTCCCAGCTACTAGGGAGGGTGAGGCAGGAAAATCCCTTAGATGGCGCCACTGTACTCCAGCCTGGCGACAGAGCCAGACTCGGTTTCGAAAAAACAAAAGAGAGAACTGAAACTGAAGCTCCCTCAGCCTCCCCTCTTCAAAGCACCCACCCTGCTAGCATCTGCCCTCTTATGCTTTGTCTTCATTCCTGCTCTTTTAAGGTGCATTTCCTCCCATCAAAGACCAACTTTTCCTTTCTTCCCTACAATTTAGCCTTTGCAATGACCCTCTCTCCTTTCTTTCTCTCTCTTGCTTTGTCTATTTCTCCCTCACTATTGAATCACTTCTGTTAAAACACTGCACTCTGAGTAAAGAGACTCCCAAGCAGGCTTTGTGTGAGCAACGGGGCTATTTATTTACCCGGGTGTGGCTGGGCTGAGGCCGAAAATGGAGTCAGCGAAGTCGGGTGGGACAGGAGTTGGTTTTATAGGTTGTGGGGAAGGCAACGAAAAGTTACAGGAGTTAACAGTTTAAGCCGTTTTTTTATAAGCTGGGAGAGGGTCCTAGGTTTGCAAGCTGGGAGGGGGTCGTAGGGTGTGGAGTCACGAGGTTGGCCAAGCTTGGGTACAAATTCCAACGGCCTTGTCAATTGAGGCCGGAAAAAGAAACAATACAGGCCCGGCGCGGTGGCTCAAGCCTGTAATCCCAGCACTTTGGGAGGCCGAGGCAGGTGGATTACAAGGTCAAGAGATCGAGACCATCCTGGTCAACATGGTGAAACCCCGTCTCTAAAAATACAAAACATTAGCTGGGCATGGTGGCGCGTGCCTGTAATCCCAGCTACTCAGGAGGCTGAGGCAGGAGGATTGCCTGAACCCAGGAGGCGGACGTTGCGGTGAGCTGAGATCGCGCCATTGCACTCCAGCCTTGGTAACAAGAGCGAACTCCGTCTCAAAAAAAAAAAAGAAACAATACAAGAATGTCTCAAGTTAGCTAAGCGCCACAGGGGTTAATTATTTCTTCCATGAACTCAATCCGGGCTGGGCTGTACGTGCAAATCACAGAGATTGCCATGCCTTTCAAGGCACTGGTCAGAGCTTACAGTTTATATTTGAATATAAATGTGGTTTTCAAAAAACTTTCCCTTTTTCCTTCTTCTCCTTCCAACTCCCCATTCACAGAGGAACTTCTTGAAACATCTGCCTACACATGCTGCTCCATTTTCTCACCTTGTTTTCTTTTCTTTTCTTTATTTTTTATTTTTATTTTTATTTTTATTTTTTGAGACGTGGTTTCACTCTTGTTGCCCGGGCTGGAGTGCAATGGCACAATCTCGGCTCACCTCAGAGATTCAACGATTCTCCTTCCTCAGCCTCCTGAGTAGCTGGAATTTCTACAGTTTATTCCAATTGGATTTCCAGGCTAGGTGTGGTGGCATATGCCTATAATCCCAGCATTTGGGGAGGCTAAGGCAGAAGTTCAAGACCAGCCTGGGCAACATAGTGAGACTTTATCTTTACCAAAAAATTAGTGTCAGGTGTCAGCCTGGCACAATGGCTCTCGCCTGTAATCCCAGCACTTTGGGAGGCCTAGGCAGGCGGATCACCTGAGGTCAGGAGTTCCAGACCAGTCTGGCTAACGTGGTGAAACCACATTTCAACTAAAAATACAATTAAATTCGCTGGGTGTGGTGGCGTGTGCCTGTAATCCCAGCTACTGGGGAGGCTGACGCAGGAGAATTGCTTGAACCCGGGAGGCAGAGGTTGCACTGAGCCAAGATCGCATCACTGCACACCAGGCTGGGTGACAGAGCAAGAATCTGTCTCAACAAAAGAATTAGCCGGACGTGGTGGTGTGTGCCTGTAGTCCCAGCTACTTGGAAAGCTGAG